TTTTAAAAACAGTATATGTTGGAAATGCTTATCCCTTTCCCACAACCTCCCCTTCCTCCCACTCCTCATTTTTTAAGGCCACCTCTACGAATGGAGCAAGGAGGCAGAGGGGGGCTAGCCTCTCCCCCCTGCTGCATGTTTACCTGTGTTGCATTTCTAAGGTGGGAAGGGTAAAGATAGGCGAGAGGGCTGTGTCTGTGGAGCGGGTGCAAGAGGGATTGGGGGGTGGCTTCATTGCACAGGCGTGTTGCACAGGTGCAATCCTCCCAGAGGCGGCTCGCAGCGCAGTCCCAGAAAGGGAGTCAGAAGTAAAGCCATTTATAAAAGCGCGAGAGAGGCAGGCAGGCAACTGCTCTTGTGCAGTGACATCGGACTCACTGTGTAATGCAGTGCCAATTCCCAATCCCTGAAATGCAGGCCCAAGGACAGCCCCGTTCAGTCCCGCATCTCTTCTCCGTGCACAGCACACGCAGAGTCGTATCAGAGGAGAAATGCAGGCAAAAGGCTCTTCTCTTCCTTCTCTGCCCCCCCTTTGCCCCCCCCCCCGCCTGACATGCTTGTATGCCTGAGCGAGCCAGCGAGCGAGCGAAAAATCCTTCCAATCTTTGGGACGTTAGAGCGATCTGCGTTAGCAACCAGGAAGGTAAAAGGCCGCGGGCTTTAGAAACCTCTGTCTGTTCCAGCCTCTCTTCTCCCGGTAGCGCTAGAGAAGGCGATGCAGCGCTGGCTGGGAGGAGAGGTAAACGGGATCCAAAGGCTGCCGCCGCCTCCGCCGTTCTCATTGCTGGCGCGGAAGGCTCAGATTGCTGAATCTCTCATGCATATCAATAACCGGGTGTACTTGAAATTTCTCGTGACACCATCATTACCTTGGTCCCCTGCTGTCCAGGACCTCTGACCTTGCTGGGCTGGTCCACATTTGGGCACTTCAAGCCCACCAATGATAGCCCTTTTCTCCTTTTTTCAGACGGGGGGCAGCAGCAGCGGCAAGCCAACAAGACTGCAGCTTCTCATGCCCAGCTCTGGGAATCCGGAGAAACCGTGGATCTGCCAGGTTGCTTCCCCCCCCAGCCCTCCCCAACCAAACCCGCAAGATATTTGCTGCCACCATTTGGTTAAAATAAGAATGTTTAGGGCGCTGTGATGCATAGTCCCCCCCCCCTCAAAAAAGAGCAGAAGGCAGAGCTGAATCCTCGCACCACCCGCACCGGCACGGCACCGTCATCTTGCCAATCCTGCTGAAATGGGATTCCCTTCTCCTCCCCATCTTCTTCCTTTCTCTGCGCTGGAAATATCGCCGATGGCTTTACATCTTTATAAGAGGTTAAAGACCCTTTCCTGAGAATGAAGCAATTTACAATGCAAATAGAGGCCTGTGGAGGGATGGATGCTTCACACTCTTAACAGCTTGATGCACCTTAATAGCTGGTTTTATTTTCTGATATTAACAGATGAATAGTTGGTCCATTGCTGCGGGAAATTACTGGATTGAAAGGAAAGAAAAAGAGAGAGCGTGCACAGGAAAGAGAGAGAGAAAGAAAGAAAGAAAGACAGACAGAAGGGAAAGGAGAAAGAAAAAAAGTTTGGAGTAAAACTTTGAAGGCAATAACATCTTCTGGATGCGCCTTAGGAGCACGCATAGCTCCCACAGACTGTAACAGGTCATGATGGCTTTAAAAGGATGAGCATTTTGAGACGCAAGGTCGACTTGGAAAAATCTATTTGTGGAAACAGTCTGGATTCTAGTGAGGACAAGCTGAAAGCATTGCAAACTGTATGAGGGAAGCGAGTTGTTATCTTTGGTTATCTAGCTGTATGAGTGTGTTGGTCTTCATAAAGCTAGATAACCGAAAGTAAAAACTCCTTCATGATCTTCATGCTGCTCAAGAAGCAAGAAAGGCTCCCACAAGGGACAATAAAAGCCCAGCTCTAACAAGGATGCTAACTGAATGGCACATTTCTGCAGATCAAGGCAAGAGAGAGGGAGAAAAAGAATGAAATGACGTGCCTGTGTCAAAGACATATGTACCTGTGTATCGATAGAGACATATCTGTAGGAGATACCAGGGCACAAGATGGTGAAGAATAAACCATACGCTGCAAAGAGGATATTGTACTCATGGTAAAACAAATGCATGTCCATGTTTTGCTTTTGTTTTGTTTTGTTTTAGCTGTTCTGTGGGGAAGGAGTGGGGAGGGGCCGATGAAAGATGATCCTGTTTAAAAATGCAATTTGATTCTTTCCTGCTTAATCCTGTTCAGAAATAAGTTCCATGAGGTCAATGAGACTTGCTTCTAGGTGTTTATATGGATCTGAAACCTTTAATGCACTTTTAAAATGTCAAGGAGGTTTTGCAATGTACAGCTGTGGCCTAGTGTGAATCAGAGATAATTTTAACAATTTTTGAATAGATGTGTGTCTGTGTTTCTCTTCTCTGTGAGATCTGCTTAACAGTTTTAGAGTGTTGCTCAGAGTATTGCTATTTCAATGGGGAAGCACATTTTTTTTTGTATGGCATTAGGTGACATTAATATTTATTGAGGATTTGGAGGAGTACCACAAAATTGGAGATGTGTGTTTCTGTGTGTCTGTGTTACAGGAGGCTTGGAGGCAGCTTATGGTTGATTTTAAAAAAACGGAAGAAAAAGGAAACCAGTCTCCTATTCAAAATGCAAGCACAGATGCTTCTCTGTTCCTAGAGGGTTTCCTTGAGGAAGCTACTGAAGCAGAAAGACGTGATGGAGACGCGATTGCCTCCCCCCCTTGTCAAAATGTTAAAAAGTAGTCTGTGTCTTATTCTGTGGGTAGCATTGGAAATGAAAGTGACATTAACTCCCAAACCCACGTGTGTGCGCCTCCTCTCTTCTTGTTTAAGGATGGCCAGATTTATCCAGGAAACTGCTTTGGCATCCCTAACTGAAATAATTAGGACGTATATAGACCTGACCAAAAAAAAAAAAAAAAAACAACCCAGAATAAAAGGAAAGGGGGAGGTGAAATCTGAGGGTCTGGTCTTGCCTAATTGATTCCGTTAAACGGAATGCCTGAGATGTGAACGGCTGGATGCTCCTATTCCCACGCTCAGGGGCAAGTGGCCATGCTATGGCCCGGCAGCCTATGATAAACAGCCCTGCTGGGGGCTCCCTATGAAAAAAACATCAAGTGCACCACAGACTCATCTCCATCCCTTAAGAAAGTAGAGGCATTTCCCACCCACAGCCATCTGCAGGCACCCAAGAGGGGGACCCCAACTGTTTGGAACTGCAGATTGTTGCTGTTAGCTCTATCATTACTTTTTCAGCTTCTGCTAATAAAATATAGCTTTGCTTCTCATGTAGACATTTTCTACAGACAGAGAAAAGAGAAAGAGAAAGCAAAGAAGTGGTAAAAGGCAAAGTTATTTTTCTGGTTAAATGCAC